ATCTCTCACGCACCGAAAGGCTGCATTCCATTACAAGCCGTCCAAAACGGTTGCATTCAATCCTAAACCATCCAGAACGGTTTCATTCTACTCAAAACCGTCCAGAACAGCACAAGGTCTATAGCAGTTTCATTCCACCCTCATTCTAATTCAATGACCGAGACCGACCTCGCCTTTCCATGTGACTTTCAAAAAACAAGCCTGTCCGTTCGTCTATACCAAACTAGTCATAAGAAGATAAATAGATAATTCATACGCCGTAGTTGAGAGGAGACCATTAAATATAACAACAAGTTAACAACTCAAATAATTATTCTCTCTTGGGCTCAACTTTCATGAATGTTGCTGATGATGAGAAATATGTTGACGTGGAACTGCCAGAAGTTTCTTTTGCAGTAGGGTTCACAATTTCCAAACCTTGCACAGGCGTGAATGTAACTGAAGAAGCTGTTCCAGCCACCTGAACAAGAGTCATGAAGCAAGCGATTCTAACAAAAACTAAATACTTTGCTTCTAACACTTGAAACTCCGCCCAGAGCTCTTTGTCGTTCCATCTGCTTTTGAAGTTTTTGAGACATTCGAACTCTTGTTTTATTGTCGACCACTGCTGTGCGAATACGACCTCCAGTGACATTCCCGGTTTTAGCCTAACAATTTGAATATAAAAATGTGGTTTGATGGCCTCGTACCTGGCCAAGATCGAATCCCATGTGGTCTTGCATAACATCCTCACCAAGTTCTCCAAAATTCATACGATTTGCACTCTTTCTCAAATCTGTTAGACCAAGCCTTTCTTTCATTTTACGAGCTCTTCTTCCTATGAACATGGTCATTCCGTATTTTCACAATATTAATACTGACCTCCTCTTTTTTTGCTTGCTTTATCTAATGGCTTGGGAAGAGCTTTCGAATGCTTAACTGGAGGAGGTTCCTGCATCTTCTCATACTTTTTCTCCACCTATAAGATGAAAAAAATATTCGGTAAATTCTGGTTATATCAACCTGTTCTAATAATTCTCGCCCAATGGAACCATCAGGAGATTCGTGAAGAGAATCAACACGAGCAGCCAGAGTAGTTTTTGCAGCAAGAACTTTCATGGCTTTTCTTAGACAAACCGAATAAACGCGAAAGATTGATATTACTTACTGCTTCAAATCAGGTGGCAACGTTTGAACCAGTGGATGGTAATAAATGAATCCGACATGCTGATTAATCATAGAAGAAGAAAATCCAGACAAACTCTTCTTCTGTTTACCCAAAACTTGAATATTACACGACGGCATTCTTGACAATGGAGCTAATCCTCCAGCTTGAGAGACCTGAGAAGAAAACTCAGTTTCCTGTACAGAGCATAACGTACTAGTAAAGCAGTGGTGTGTGCTCCTAGCAGGTGAACCAAATTTGGAGCTATTAACGACATTCTCAACTCGATCAGCCTGTACATAGAAATACGATCCTGAAAAGAGTTGTGAAGAATATTCTCTCAAGAAAACGAGTTACGTTATGAAGGCGTTCAGCCAGATCACAAGCTTCATTAATGGCATGGAGCTCTTCTGATTCTAAAACCTTTCCTTGAGTTGTCGAAGCAGTAACCGAAACAACAATGCAGGTTGCAGGGGCTAAGATTTGTCCAAGTAGTTCCTTAAAACAAATTGATAAAATTTATAAGAGTTAATGTTTCACTTTATTCTGTCCTTTTGTATTGATTTCGTTTCCCAGCAATTTAACGGCAGCCAAGTATTCCAATGGAATAGGCACTAGAGTTTCTAATTCGGGGAATCTTTTCTCATATTTATCCCTTACAAACTTATGGATCACGTGGATTTCGTTGTCAATATCGGCAGCGAGCTAAAAACAAATTTAAAGAACGTATTATTACAAAAACTTACATGGGATAGTTTCACTATAAGTTGATATTGAGGATCAGCTTCTAAAGGAGCTGTAACATGAACGTCTTCCACTCGTCCTAACTCATGATGAAGCGAGAGTACCAATGATCGGTAACTGAAACGAGTGCGTCAGTGAGTGAGCAGCTCAGCGATAAAAAACTTTTCCGTAGCCGATAACTTGGCTACATCGAAGACTGAACTGTAAAGTTGCATAGGAATTTCAGTGGCTTCTTCGATTTCCTCCTCTTTCTTGACCTTAATAATAAATATTATATAATTAATGGATACACAATTCAGTTCACATCATCATCGGCATCCATGTCCTCTACATCCTCTTCATCATCGTCGAAGTCGGCCATAAGTTCTTCAGCCAACGACATTTTGAAATCTTATGAGGAATGTACGATCAAAAAGCTAAAGAACAAAACATTGAAAGAATAAGCAGAACGGAGAAGTATCATACAGATTTCAGAAAAACTGCTGTGAGGATATGAATGAGAACTTCTTTCGACATTTTATGACTTGAATGGCAATTAGTATCAATTTGGAAACTATTTGAATAGTGTTCGGGATCAAGAGAGCAAACACATTCTAAGTGACAAGAAATATGATCTATATATTTGAAGTAATACCCTATGTAGTAGAACATCTTGGATGATATCGAGCAGAGAGTAGGGTAGAACCTGTACGACAAAGTAATTACAACATCTAACAAGAATTATATGAACAGCTATCTAGCTTCTGTGATTCAGGGTGAAAAAAAGAGAGAGAGTACTTACAACGACCAGTATTGCTTTTGAAAAATTCTTAACTTTCCAGTTGTGCTCATTGAGCTCTGACAATCCTGTCTGCTAGAGCAGACGATATCGTCCAAAATACATACATATATTCAGAAATATACATATACACATAGCAAAAAGGGGGAAAGAACGGCATGAAATTATTACTCCGTAAACTTCCAAGAATCTCTCTCAGCTCCTTCTTGACAATGCTTTAACAAAGCTGTTCGTCGTTTATCGACATACCTGTATTTGTCTTGCACCTGTAATTCAACCAATACTTTTCGATTAATACTTACTAACTCACTTTTTGCTTTAAAGTGACGAGATTTTCATTGGGTAGATCCCTTTCCAAGAACTCGGAAAGTTGTTCTGTTGCAATTTCGAGATCCTAACAAGATATATTATCTTCCTGCAGGGAGGAAACGAACTCACTTTTTGATTATCTTCAAATATTATGGATTGATTATCATGCTGCAAATAGTAGGCAAAGGCGTATGTATACATCAATGTGCGACGACATTCTGACAAAACATCCACAGCTTTTCTCAGAAATTGAACCTGAGTAGGGAGATGAGTGAGAATTCAGAGAAAAGTATCACCTCGATCCATGACATAGACTGCTGTTGCATGAACTCCATTTTAGTTTTCACTGTCGCATATAACTGAACCGAAAAGTAAAACTCATAAAACAGCTTTCAACTCACTTTGCTTTCTAGTTTTAGACTTGCTTGATGGTTCATAAAGCGATTATAATAATGCAAATAACGTTGTAAAGCAGCCCTACTCCTTTCCTGAGCATCTCTGGCTTTCTTAGCATTCGAGTCATCATATCTGTAGCTATGGAATACAACCTAGCTCTCTATACCAAACCAACCTGTTACAACTGTACCATGCACTTCCATGCGGCTCCCACGGGCCCAAACACATCCAACAGAATTCCATTTTGCAAGCTGAGTTTTTGCAAGTCATATGATTACAGCCACCATCTTTTTCTATTGTAACCTAGACAAAGGCTGGTGATTTGAACCATCTAGTATATACCTGGCATTTCGGACATTCTTTCGTGTTTGCATTTATCCAATTACTCGTCTCACTGTCATCACTACATTTCTTCATCCACAGCCTCAGAAGACGACAGTTCACAGGCTCATGCCATTCATTGGCACAGCCGAAGCAAAAACACATGTTACACGTACATTGAACAGGACGAGCTTCAGCTTGTGAAACCTTAATATTGAAAAATAGGTTGCACAACACTATTTAAAAACTCACCTTGATAGCTTTGCCACAATCAGGGCCGGGGCACCATTTAATAAGACGATTGGATTCCACAAAACTATTAGTAATAAGTCGATGATACGCCATGCGTACATCTTCTCTCGAAATGTAAGATAGAACCTAAATACAAAAGAACTCATAAACAAAACGAGGACTCTTAACCTTTTCGTCTTCTATGAGTAGAGGACAGTCATAAGCAAAACATTGTATGTCAGCAGAATTATCACTCAGGATCTTCAGATGTGAAAAAAAAAGAAAATAAAAAAATTCAAAAGAAAACCCAACCTTAGTATTGAGGTATGTTTCCCAACACGAAGAGCAACACCAATGATTACAGAGAAGACCAGTTAAAGATGACTTTGTGCAGCAAACAGAGCATTCATCGTTAGTGGGCTTAGGGAAATCTCTGCTAGGAATTACCTGACATTTGATAAATGAAACTAAAAGAAGTACTAGCTACTAACTTTATAAGATTTGAGAAAGGCGTCAGTGTCGGGGTTTTCATAATATCTAAAAGGGAATATGTAAGCTGCATAGCGAACTCTCGAAACCTTTCTAACAAACTCTCTTTGTTCCAATTGAACTTATTTAAAAGTATCCTACAAGTTCCCGAATTTATGCGTAAAATAGCCGCCACCTCGGCTATAGAAGTTTTCATATCTCGAACGAGGTCTTCGGGGGACATAACCTGAAGAAAACAAAAGAACTTTATAGTTGAGTGAAAGGAGGACTAACAGTTGATTCCATTAAGATACTATCCTTAGCAGAAAGAATGCAATGATCTTCCTGTTCCATTTCAATTCCATCATCGTCACTTAAGCCCTGAAACGATGAAATGAGTTTATTTGAATAATTGGCTAAACTACAATGAACAACTCAAGATCGGAAACATCTTTACGTAACATGATCGACCGGCTTAAAGCAAGCAAAATTTAAAAATGAAAACCTGACCTGGTCGTCATCATTGTCACTGCCTGAGTCGGAGTAATTGAAGTCCTCGTCATACTCCACTGCCATTCTGAAACATAGGATAATACTCACGTCTGTGATGAGGAAAAAAGAAAATCAAGAAAGTAGAAAAATATAAAACTCAGTGTTATGACCAAGCGTATGAGATTTGAGGTGAGGAAAATTTTTTTACGGTGGACTTCAATCTATTGTTTGGTCATCAAAAAACGATGATATTGCGCTTCTGTAGTAACTTATGAAGCTGAGGGACCCATTGGATCAATGGTAACAATCTGCTTCTTTGTTGATTAATCTCTCGAATTCAAAACTTCAAAAACATATTTTAAAAAAATAATTAATGCACGTGACGAAGAACACACAAATTTCTCAGCCCGTGAGCACATTTAAACGGCAAAATGGTCCCGCCACGATCAATTCAACACTCTGGGGTTTTTTATTTTAAATCTGCTTGTATTCAAAGTTATTCTGTTTATTGAAAGCTCATGTATGGAATATTAGTCATTGGAGCTCCTGGAGCTGGCAAATCAACGTTTTGCACTGGATTATCTGATATATTTTCGCAACTTAAACGAGAGTTTTGTATTTTTAACTTGGACCCAGCAAATGATAACAATGAATATGATGCCCACTTTGACATAAAGGTTTCTGCAAGCAGGGGGAAGTTACTAAAATCGAATATTGTCAGGAGCTAATCACTGTTGAAGAAGTAATGGAACGTTTAGAATTGGGACCGAATGGAGCTTTGAAATACTGCATTGAAACATTGTGTAGGAACCCTGAATGGCTAATTGAGAAAATACTAGCGAATAAACAAAAATACATCATCATCGATTGCCCCGGCCAGCTAGAATTATACAAAAGTGAGGGAGAATTGTGGAGAGTGGGTTTTATTCTGATCGAGAATAAACATTCAAGGATTGTAGGTTATTCGGAAATTGGAAAGTGCTGGAGTTCGATTATGCGCACTTCATCTCGCCGATTCCCTTTATTGCTCTGACGCTTCAAAGTTCATATCAGTTGTCATGTCAACGTTGTGTGAGTTTCTGAAACTTGTTGAAGTTAGATTCTTTCTATTACAGCAACAATGGTCACTCTAGAAATGCCACAAGTGAACGTGCTGTCCAAGATAGATCTCTTCGACCGGAATGCTTCGTTCAATTTAGAATATTTCCTTCAATTGCCCGATATTTCAAAACTGCTTGAAATGTTGAATGTAAGTCTTTGGCCTTTCTGTTATTTCCTATGCTTTATCTGAAATCAGGATGTCCCAGGTTTAGATAGATACCAAGCCCTCAACAATGCGATTTGTCAAGTAAGGCTTTAGTGTGTTCGATTAATATAACACTTGCTCCCTCAGGTCATAAGTGATTTTGATCTTGTGAATTTTCTACCTCTCGATGTGAGAAAGAAAGAGAGCATGGCACAGATTATAAAAGCTATAGATACTGCAAATGGATATGCATTGGTGGAGCAGGAAGGCGACATCCGAGACATGGTTCTCACGCAATCTACTCATGAAAGTTAGTTAGATATGTTGATTTCGTTTTTTCTATGTGTACCTGATAAACTGTTTTCATACTTCGTACATGACATTTTGCTCATTAAAAAATAACTGATCGCTGAAAGAAACCGATCATTTGAAATAAGGATCAATAATATATCTTGCTAGAACTCGATTTCGTGCTGACCAGCGGAAGCTTTTGTTTTAAAAAGTTACAAAATAGGTTCGAACACTGGCCGTCCGTGTTTCCGACGAGAACGGTCAGCAATCAAACTGATAATGAGGTCATTTATAAAAACTATGTCGATTATCCCATCGTCGCACTTTCCCCAATCTTTATTTCACTTTCTGGAGTTCACTCTCGGTCGTCTTATATGGATCGTATTGCCTTTTCCCTTTCTATTATACTTCTTATCAGTATAATAAGTTGTTACAAGGATTATGATGATTTGCCTGGTGGAGTTGAGGGTGTCACTCCTCAATTTCGACTAAGATCCGATCGGATGAAGTTAGCGTTTGGTAATGCTAACGAATATTATGGTCAGCGCAACTACTTAGAGGTAAGACGTAGTGTTAAACAAGCAAACAGATGATGAATAGATTCCTGCTGGTCCTGGAAGCTCAGAGAAACTCGCAGTGCCCAAAGCTTTCTACCACTATAGCGAACATGATACAGGTATATTGCATAAGAATCGTATAAAACGTACCAATATTTGGAGGAGCTGAAGCTAAGTTCGGCCTTCCTGACAACTACATGCTTCTAGCATCTAACACCGCTGTTCGGAACAATCGGAGAGACATAAATGGCATGTATTTACCATTGCCAAATATGGACCCAATCAATTTGCATTTTATCACGGAAAGGTATTGAAGAGATAGATTGAGGTTTCTAAACACATTCATAAATGTCAGAAAGTTTGAGAAAGGACTAGACACTTCGGCCTATGAAGATTCGGCGGGTGGCGCGTTAGCCAAGGCAAAAAAGTGAGTGAAGAACTTAGCATCAATCTCTAAAACAGTTTTTAGAACTTGCTTGTCAGGGGATGAATTAATGTGCGAAAAGGCTTTGTTGCATTATTACAGAGTCAAATCATCCAACGTTAGAACAGAAAAAGGATCTCTATCGGAGCAATTGCTCAGCTTGGTGAGCTACTTTAACAGTTTCTTGTCACAATGCACTATTTTAGGGAGATTTATCTTCGAACACAAAAGTGCGTGATCGCGAAGGAACAGGGATGGGGGTTGTTGTTGGCGTACCTGGCTATGATCCTCTATATGTTGGAGCGGCTTTGGATAATAATAATGATGGCGATGTTAATATTCGCTTCTCACCTCCAAAATAAGTTGAGAACGAAGTGAAACCCAAGATTGCTGTACATATTTGTCCCGTCTGAAAGACAGAAAATTTAATAATTAATAATAGAGCATAACTAATTCCGAATAGTTCCGACTAGCCCAATAAAGATTTTCCCACAAAAGTCTTTTACAACATCCCCTACATTCTCAAGTGCTCAACCAAGCTCCATTAATGAGCTTGATTATGATCCAGTAAATTTGAAGCCGAAATCCTTTACTATGCACTCTTCTTCAGTCATATAGAGCTTAAAACGTCACGCAAGAGAATTTTACGATGTGTTTGACCTCTAATCAATGTTGACGACAGAACATAGACTTTTTGCAATTATTTCACCGGCTATACTTGGTCATATATCTCGATCTTGTGTGACTATAAAAATTCGCTTGTTTAAAAAATATCTGATGAAAGGCTGAGAAGAAGAAAGAGCGCTACGACCAATAAACTATGATGTAGCCCATACAGAGTACAATAGATCCTTGGCTACCTTCACCAAAATCAGTACCAAACTATATTATCAGTGAAACTTGGAAATCATGCTCGTACCTTTGCTAATCACAAAAAAACACTCGATGATTCATTACGGAATATCAGAACATTGTACCCAAAGTGAGTACTAATGCAGATAAGAATTTGGTAGTGACGGGGAATCGCACACGTTTGTTATTATCTAGAACGAAAATGCTGAATTATCGCAAAAATTGATCCTCAACACAAGACCGAATAGGAGACAGCATTCTGAGATGAAAGCTATTTGGGAATTGTGTGAGAGTACATCAACAAAGAGAACATGAGATGGTAGCCTACTTCTTTATAACTGTAGCTTTTCGCAAAACTTTCTCACAAAAGCAGTGGCGTCCAAGCAGAGTTCAAACCTCACTACTTCAAAATCAGTAGGAACATCAGTATATTAACGTCTTCAATTTGCTTTTAACAATAAATTCTTAGCAGACTTAATGTTTTGATAAGAAATGCTACTGACAGATCGTTATCATACTTTCACATATACTTTTCCGTTTCTTACGCTTTAACGATGTATAGAATAGTTTCCTTACCTCAGAAACAGGGAGAGCACATATTGGCATGGAACATGTCGTTGATATCATACTAAGAACGTGAAAGACCCAATATGATCATAAGAATATTATTCACTGTGTAATTCTGAAAGTAAAAGATAAAGTAGCGAGCACATGATTTAGGATGCAACCGGTTGCCAGCTTGAAAAATTAAAAATGAACCCTCTTGATGGCAGAGCACTCAAAAATATCCAAACGGCTAATTACGTATATTTATTATAATTTCTGTAATTTGCAGAGTACTATCATAATGACTGTATTATCCGGAGTTAACCAACTACATCATACCGGAACATATCTTCATTGTCTGATTTCACGCTAAAAAGAAAAACGTCATGTGTTTCGTAGCCTGATTACTGATAAACGATAGCACTTTGGGTATATAAGCGGAGCTAATCATGAAATGTTATTAATTAGACTGATTACAGCTTTTTCTCAGTCATAAGTGTCATATACTCTTGAAGTTATACCTTCATTTAAGAATTAACTAGTTTCTTCAAACCTACTGTAACAATTCTCATGAGCTTAAGCAATCTAATCAATCTTAAGTTCTATTTGACTGCCTCTTGTTTTCGAATTGTCCCATACTTTGCAAAACAGTTCGATACTGTTCTTCATTACTCAAAACACTTCCATTTATGATCTTTTTAAACTCTGCCTCACAATCATAAACAATATCTATATCCTATTATAGATTTTCACGATGTCTTTGTGGATCGACAAACCCGATACTCTGCAACGAGAGAAAGTGCACATCAAAGCGAGACAGTTGAAACCGTTCCAAACCTATAAGATGATCATGAGGTACAGATTAACATCTAATTCAAATTTCCTTGTGATATTCGATCGAAGCTCTTTCCCATTCATAAATATCATACCATATGATTAATTGTCTTTACTCATGAGGCTTTGTTCTTATCTTTTTCAAAATGCTCGTGTAACGAAAAGAGCCCCAGAGATGCCTAAGACATGAAACGCAGAGACCCAATCACCTATACAACTTTTATATACGTTGCTTCAGATTGAAACACAAGTATGGAGCCCATGCTGCCTATGCCGTGTTTAAAGCTGATGCCAGTGGTGAAATTGATGTCCCCAGCTCACGTCCTCTTCGGGGAACTTATTTTGGCAAGTTCATTCTTTTCGTTTCAACAACTTCCTGTCTTGAACGTTATCAGGCGAAGCTGTATAATAAATTATTGATAATTGAAAAATATCTCACACCTCTAACAGTTTTTTGTTTTTCAATTCTATTATTGCAGAAGCCGATCCGATGGGGTTATTTTTAAGCCAAACTGCCACCCCTGAATTTGATTTCGGAGGATATTTACGTTGCTCCCCTCCTGTTCCTTTCGTCTACCGCTTAGAGTATAACTTACTTCAAACTTCAACCTCATTTTGGTACCCTTCTCAGGCTATATGATGATCGTGAAGTTCTGATTGATACGTTACTGATGAAGAAACATTGGATGCACCCCAATCTAACGCGAACTGAAATCGAAGAAAATGGCTTCTGCGGAACATTGTTCAAACCTCCGGGTAAGTCATGGTTATTTTTTCTTATTTTAAACCAGCTCTGTTTGAGGTGATGGACCTTTCCCTTGTGTGATAGATATTTCTGGTACTGGCGGAGGTTTGCACGAACACAAAGGAGCCATGTTAGCTTCAGAAGGATTTCTTGTTTTGAGCTTGGCTTTTTTCCAATATAAAAGTCTTGTATCTCGCCTGGAGGAAGTAGACATATCATACTTTAAAGTAGCTTTATTATCTGTAAAGCCCATGGCATGATGTAATTTACAGAAGGCAATCGATTGGCTAATATCCAGACCTGATACTGTTGATTTCATAGGAATCCAAGGCGTCTCTTTTGGAGCTACAATTGTCGACATTTTATCGACTAGATTCCCTGAGGTTTATCCCAACTTCTCTAACAAAATGTAAAATAATTCTGTTTTGCAGATTAAGGTTGTAGTATCAATCAATGGACCATTCCTTCAGAACCGATATTGCACTCTCAGAGAAAATGGGGTGGCACTGCAAGAAGCAGAGTAGGCTTGCCAGGACTCTGTTCCATTTCTGATTTTTGCTTTCTTTAGACTCGATCAAAGCAAAATTCGTTTTATCAATCGCGTATTAGCAACTGATCACATACTTGATAAGCTTGTACCAACGCCTGAGACCATAATCCCATTCGACAGAGTAGCTAAAGATGTAGCATATCGATTTGTGGCTTCAACTGATGATCTTGTGAACAACTCTCTCTATGCTAGCAGACAGAAGATTAGACAGTTGCGTGAAAGTGGTCATAACAAGTTAGAAATTGATATTGTGAGCGGTGGTCATATCATGGAGCCTCCATATTTCCCACACCATCACGTCGTGTATGCGAAAAATCAAGGTGAATCATACTTCCTGCTAGTTATCACACAAACATTTAATTTTACAGGCTTTTACTGTGGTTATGGTGGAGAAGTTCTTCTGCATTGTCGTAGCCAAGAGCAAAGCTGGCTAAGAACTATCTCCTTCTTTTCAAAACATCTAGGAACTCCCTTAGAAATGCCTGATTGGGATCGCGAACTTATAATTGCTGAACCTACGCCCTACAGCAAGCTTTAAACGCTTTAATATACTAAATTTGTACAAAGACATTAAAAACAAAACTTTTTGCTGTGAGCAAGAAATCATAATTAGTAAGTCGCATCGATTACACTTTACACTTTTTTTTACATAGAATAAACCTTTCTAGTCATTCCTCTATTTACGAGAACATAGTTTATGGGGTTGGTTTGAAGTTTCAGCAAAAAAGTGAGCTAAAGAGGACGGAATACGTGCATAATTTGTAAATAATAATCGAAAAAAACGATAACTAGCATAGAAACTTTTGTGTGATGGCATTAGAATTTCATGAAAGTTCCAATAGCCCATGTCTTCAACCCAGACTCTTGTATAGTTACGAATCTGGAACTCAAACGCGACTCAAGCCGCTGAGTTTTAAGCACATTCCGTAATAGATAGAAAGAATCTCTTTCGATGTGCTCATAAGATATATCTATGGAGTCACTTTCGTTGTTCATCAAGAAATTCACTTGATCCCGGATAGCCTGTGTTTGTAAATCCCATGCTGCCTCAACTTTATCAAAACCTAGCATCTAAAACCATAACTTTAGAAAAAGATCCGGAACGAAACCGAACCTCGAGATCAAATTCAATCTTATCATCAACTTGTCTTGTGAGCAAAAACTGTCCTGGACAAGGAGAGATATACTCCCGAATCTCGCCCTCTCCACCGCTTCTGGGATATTCTGGTGCCAAATCGAAAAGGGGATCATGTTCTTCATTTCCGCGGTATATAATTCTTTTTTCGTCTACAAAATTGAGGAGAAATATGACAGTTATGAGGTTTACCAATATATAAAAGGTCCCTCTCAAGTTTTTCCAATCTCAGAAGGAAACGGTAAATCCGAACTCGCACATGAGAAGCTGTTAGAGCTTCAACAGCAGTCACAGTCTCGAAAAGTGGGAGGGCATGTTCTTTTTTTTTACCGAAAGCATAATAGATGGTGTCCTCCGTCAAGGCCTTTAGCAGTCACTGGTAACAAAACAAGTGTAAGAGTCAAACAAACTTTTATTTCCTTCACTTGCATAGTAGGATCTTCTAGTGTTTTCCAAAGTTCCCCAGGGCTTTTCGCAAGTTCGGTCACAGGCTTGTCATTTTTTTCCGAGAAAGTTTTCCACTGAACATTGATGTTATGATCAAATCACTAGGTCAGTTCAGCTTACTATTTGCAAAAGAGCGTCATCAATACTTTGTGCTACAGCATTTCTATGCACGATATCTTTGTCAATTGGGATGGCATAACGATTGGTTAACTCGACGATGTATTTTTCTCTTTCCATGTCATTATTCAAACGAGCTGGATATCCTGCGGATGCCTGAAATAAACAATAATATCTTTCCCATTCATTGGAGTAATGATACTATCTTATTCCCTAGAACAGCATCGACAAAATCCGAGAAAATTCCAGATGTTTGTTTCTCTCCTCTCTCATTTGCTGAAAACTTCATCCAGTCGTTCCAATGAATCGCCTACGAGATCTCATGTCTTAGTGAATGAACTTCCGTCAAACTGACTCCAATTACACGTGTGATAACATAGCCTTGTTCTAGCGCTAGTTGAAGCTCGAATGTTGTCCAAGTGCCATCTAGGATGCGTTCAGCATCGCAGTGTTGGCAAAGCTTGTAATTTTTCTGCTCAGCGCATGCTAGAGAAACATCATAAGAAATAGTGCAGAACAACTTACTTCTGCATAAAGTTAATATAACCTCTCCATCCCATTTGTATTGAAGAACGGGCACAAAGAGTTCTTTTGGAGGGAGAACCCAAAACAAACTGTTTCATAAGTCAACTACTATGAAAACCTTACTTGACAATATACAAGCCCTTTCGCATCGCCTAAACCGGTTGATTCAGTGATTGGAACTTTGAAATATTCTCCGTGTAGTCTACGAAATGGTCCACTTGGGTACTCGTCAAGTTTCATGCAAATTCCAGGAACACTGCAAGAATTTATCAATCTTCAGTTTCCGCAAGAGTACTCCGGTTTGTCAGTTTTTAAGAATTTTGAATTGTTCACTCAGCATTTGATTTGCATGAGAAGAACGGGGAGAGAGGTAGTCGTTATCAGTGTTTGAAACGTCTGTCTATTACAGTTTTCCAAAGTTTCTTATCACTTACTCAGTTATATCACGGCAGAAAATTCTCTCACCATCAGTTTTTTGATATTGAAGATGGAACGTTTCAGAATAGAGAGGTGAAATAGCGTTGACAATATCGGCTTTTCCCTACAATTTGAAGAGTTATTCTAATGAAGGGAGTGGATATGAAACTTCAAAGTTACACTGATTCATGAACGTATCCATTTCAGGATCAGTCATGCGTTGAAGAGCTATTTGACATTCCCAAACAACTTCAAAATCTATATGGCGCCTTAAGTGAAGATATATACTACACTAACGAATAGTATGTCTCACCTGACTTCATCATCACGTTTTTTATCGTTTGCTCGAATTGTGTCAATTTTGAGTTCACGTCGAGCAACCATTTGTGGAACATATGTACAACCATGAGCATGCCAATAGCAGCCCTATAGTTAAACACTGTTTTTGAATCTGCGAGTTTATCAACCTTAACATCTATCCCTAACCCTCTCGGGTACTTCTCGCAGGGCTGAATAAAACCATCAAGATGGAAAGGTGTTCCTGGTACCTGTAACAATCAGTTAAGCTTTTTATCGTTAGTCGTTTTTTTCTTTACCCTGTACTCTCCTACATTGACAGCAGTGTCAATGGGAATTTTTTCTCTGTGAGCTCTCCACGACAAATATTTCATAGCTGTCATAGAAAAGGTTTGTCTATACTGCGATCCAAAGCCTTTGTCAAGTGGGAGACAGTTATCGCTATGGAACTTCCTAAGAAAAAAAAGTTAAAATGTTCACGCAACAGTGAACCTCCGGAAACCACTGATAGCAGCCCTGTAGATATTCGGACTTTCTTCGAAGAGACGAACTCCCAACTGGTTGTATGTGATGGTTTCTAAAGTGATGAAACAAAGTGCCATCTGTACCAGCTCCAAATACGTGTGTCTGAACAATAAGAGTTACATACTGATTTTGAACCTTACTTGATGAGAGCATCCTGAAAGTTGAACACTTTCTCCATTGAACTTTCTTTGCTATGGAACTGGATAATTTCGTCCCTCTCTGTTTGGCTCATATCATCGGTTAAATACATCTCCAACGATGGAACTGGGCCGATATAATCAATATTGCAAGAGGTTAAGAATTTGATCGGGAAATATCTTAATGTTCCGGATAAGCAGTAGTGAGTATAAATATTGAATAGCTGACACTAACCCTTCTTGTTCGTGGTAGTTCCAAACGCTTAATGCTTTCGAAAACTCTTTAATCGATGTTGGGATAAAGTTGTCAGAGTCCGTAAACTTTTGCTGGAAGGAGGTTCATTAGCTAACTGAACAACAACAACTCACTCTAGATCCTTCAATGACCATGTACTTCAAACGTCCATTCTCAACTATGCATTCCTTATGTTTTGGAACATCTTCACGTGTCATATACTTCATAATTAGATCACTTACAGCTCTGCTTATATTATGATTAACAAGTACTTACTCTCACAAATCTCACTCTGATATGTTGTGGGAAACAGCAGCAAATCGTATATGATGTTTATGGATGAGCCATTTGAGAAAACTCAGCATTACATCTTTGCCCCGGTTTTTGCGCAGAATACAATCGAAAAGCCAGGTGCGACAACCATCCGGAGAACAGTTATTGCAAGTCATCTGAGCACCCTTAAAGAAGTACTCAAGCAAGTGTCTGATACTTTTCATATTACTTTGACTACACGAGTTGGCAAATAAGCTCTGCATTCTGGGCAGAACCGAATCGCTAAGATGAGTATTGGCTTTTCAGATAACGTTCCATCTGCATTCAAAGTTTTCTCAGTCTGGCAATAACGTTCATAAAGTGATAGACAAAACTTCCTCACCTTAACAAGGAAGTATATTCTTTTCTGAGGGAATCCCCATGCAGCACCATGATCTTTCGGTGGTAAACTGCATTGATGCCCTTTCTCCCGAATAACCTGCAAAATAACTTTGGTGAGCATTCGAGCTTTCCAACAAACTTTGCAATGCTGACAGTAGTAATTATGACATTTATGTCTTTTCATATCTTTACATAACTTTTTACAGTTGGGACAGACCAGCGTTTTCTCGCAACGAGATCTTTTTCCCAATATTCCTGCAACACATTCCTAGGACTAGGTGTGAATATCACATACCTTTCATTTTATGTGTTTTCAAGCACTGCTCACTATAAAACGATTGTTGACAATCTTCACAAACAACTTCATATCCATCTTCCGGCATACAATTCATTGAAGCGCATAAACGACATCGCAGTGGGCAACTTCAATTACATATTCTGATAATCATATGCAAAATAGAAAACTACCTATAGTGATCTGAGAGAGTGGCACTTTTTGAGTTACAGTGCACACAATAGAAGCCTGCTCCCACAAACTGCGGTAGTTTTTTAATTAATTGATAATGTCCATTTTTACACACAAGCGCTGAAAAAAACAACTGAAATCTTCAACGCATATTAACTACCAATTATGTTTTTCTCCATCAAACTGGGCCCTTTGTATATTGGAGATTTGTTATGCTCCTCGCTGAACACCACTATTTGATACTGCCCACTCAAAAATTCCTAATAGAAATATTTCTCTGAATGCCTTATTTACAAACACACTTACTTGCACAGAAGTTACATCCTTAATTGTGTAATCTTTAGCTTTCGCTACACCGGCATCCAGCAGTAACTGTTTGGCAAGACACATGTCTGCCTAAATGCAAATACTAAGAGTACTGCCCAATCGAAGGCTGTTAGAACTTACCGAATATTCAGGTGAAGAATCATTTAAGATCGATAAACGATACCACTCCTTTTCAACCTCATAGTTATCCTAAATGACAATTCAAAACTATATAAAACTAAAACAAACCAAATCGTTAGTATGCTTAACATAAGCCATTCCCTGAAGTATCACCGTACCCAAGCAGTAGTTCTCCACTATAATTTGAGTTTTGAACATCTTGAAAAAAAATAAATGATACCGTTGTTCTCAGATATCATCCGAAAATCTTTTTTGACACTTTTCCTCTGCCTTTGCGTTTTTGGAGCTACACCACTTCCAAGTAACTGTTTGACAAAGCATATATCTAATGTGAACTGAAGAAAAATAAGGTTATATGTATATATGTCTCTTGAACCTCATTATGACTAATAGACTTCAATCCCGAGAAACCATGTTTCAGTCGTCGAACTTCTTCTATCAAACTTTGAATATTAACATTATCAATTGGCCTGAGATGAAAAAAGTGAGACATTGGATTGTGAGGCAAAATACCTATAAGGAAGTATAATAGGATCAACAAGCTCCGAATGTCGCAACTCGAATCCCATGAACATGTAGAAGGATCCTAAGTCTTGATATTGTTTTGCAGCCAAATCCAGAATACAAATCATCATAACCTTAAATGGAATGTACCAGTGCATAAACATTAAGAACATACTGTTTCCGGCTGAGGTAAAGTGTCTATGACAAGATCGAAGACAACATTGAACCTTTTCTTAAATAGTGTTCCTCTCCAAGAAGACGAAACACCAGTAAACTCATATGTGTACAACTCATTAGCATTAAAAGTCCTTTGTACGTCATAAATCTTAAAATATTTCAAATGATATTTCGATGACAGCAAACAACCTACATTGTCTTGAAGTGGTGTCGATCGAACTGGTTTAGAAACAACACAAAGGGATTTCTGAAACAAAAAAAGTTAATCATCAAAATAGCCAGCACGCATACAGATTCAGGTTGTTCAGTTACAGGTTTGGGAGCATGAGCTCGACTAACTTTCAAATTTCGACGGAGACCAAACCCTCTGAAAAATTATTTAACACAGAAGTTTAAATTGATCTGTTTTTATTCACTTTGGTCGTTTCTTCCATACAAAATGCCCATCTTCAGTTGTAATAGATGCTGTAGCTGCTTCTAATTGCTAAATATGTTATATAGGTCTTGGGAATTTCTGGGACAACATACGTTTGTCATGTGGACGGAAGTGTCAGTTAAAAAAGATAACGTTAGTCATTCACTTTTCCCTCGCTCTATGAATCTAGTCCCGCCCACTGAGGTACGTAATGGCTGGCGTATATAAAAAAACATTCAAAAAGTTTTATACACAACTTCTCGTATTCATTCCTTGCAAAAATGAACATGATAATGAATTATCATTGTAGCAGGAGGAGGAGTTTGAAAATAATCGGAAGAACATGAGTACAGTACGTCATCGCCTACGACAAATTGGTCAAGTTGAATCCTAACAGTTCCAAACAGACATTTGGCTATTGTCATTGATTATCAGAGTTCATCGTCTCGTTATTAAGAATCGAGAGATATACAGCTTGATAATCACGAAATTCACTTTCTATCAGCCGGCCTCGTTTAATTTCTTTTATAACGCCGTACCGAATTTTCTCTAGAACTTTCTGCTGTTAATAATGTTCCAAAATTACTAACTGTCTTTCATATTTTACAGAAAAATTCTGGGAATAAACAATGTTGTAATGGCCATCACCAGGCTTTTCAGCCTTGTTCTTTTCTCCTTCATAAGTAAAATCACGAAGTATCGCTCATTCATTTAATATATTATCTCAGCATCCCCACAAATGGTTAATGCAGCTCGCCCCAGAGGTATTGGTCTTATTCGACTACCGTTCGGTGTGTCTGATCATCGTTCTGGACCATACTTGCATAACCTATACATAGCAGGGAACAAGCTCTATCATAAGGTAACCGCTTCCACTTCGATTATTCAATCAATAGTTCTTAAAGTAGACGCAAGCCATACCTGATGTTTCTCTGCCTGGACAAGACAAACATTTTTCTGGACATGCACAACTTAATCCTTTTACACATATGGTTGGAGTTGGCACGAACCACGATTATGGCGATTCGTGGGGAGTCGGCTATGCGATACAAGGAGTCAATTTCCTCGGTATTCCAGGATTAAAAACAAAACCTAATCGAAATAATCAATCTAGGATTGGATTTGAAACGACATTATCGACAATACGCCCAAATGCCACATCTTTATACAGATGGTCAGCATCAACCTTTTCAAGTATTATCTCAAACTCAAATTCTCTTGATTAGCCTGAATTATTAGAATTCTTTCATTGTTGGAGCTGAAGTAGATGGATCAAAGTTTGATAGCCACGCTGTAGCATTAGATATTCCAATACCAGGCTTGAACGAGGTATAATGGTAAACAGAATAACATATAGATTTCGTTAAGATGTTTGACTTCCAAACGGAAGTATTACGGAAGCATGATGAAGAAGCTGTGGATATTCATCACTCACGTTTATCATTTCCAATACCAAGCACCGATACTCGTATGCCTTTCAAGGTGGGATTAATTTACAAGTATTTTCTAATAAAAAGAGCTTCAGAGTCATTTCTATGAAAGGTTCAATGACATCGATTTGAATTTCGGTCACATTGTACCTAATATAAATCTACACCATATTGATCCCGAGGATACAGTTGATCAACTTGTGCAAAACCGAGCAAACCCTACCCTGGTTGGATGAAATTTGAAAGTCGAATATCTCACAGGCATCATATAATAATAATAATTGTATAAATAATAATAATAATACTAATAAAAACGAGGTCATATGCGCTATCCCAACTAATCGACTCACACTATTATCGCTCAAAGTATCGTGAACGTTAAGTTAAACTCAAAAAATGGGGTAAAGTTATCTTAATATTTTCAACAGAGCAAGGAGGTTCAAACAATCGCTAGGCATTCCGCTCCAACGGCTAAGGTTGACTCTAGGCCTGGATTTACATTAAAGCAGATTGCTGTGCTACAAATTGACAAATGTAATGAACCAGCTTCAATTCTGCTATACTTAGTGTTGGCCAATAGCTAATTCATACTTTTTTTTCTACCATTCCTCATTATTTACCCTTTTTTAAAACAAAAAAAACATACAAACTTGTGAATTCCGGTGTTGGCAATGAGTAGCGCCGTTAGCTATTTAATCATCTTCGTTCAGTTTGTGTTTCATGTCCTCCTCTAAAGAACATAATATCAATAAACTTAACTTAATCGAATATCTTCGTAAGTGTATAGACACGGCCTCTAATTTTCTAATAGACTGTATTCTTGCATTAGAAGCTCTCATTATTCAAAACATACTGAGTAATTTGGGCGGGAAATCTTGCATCTCAAATTTAGTTGTAAACAACAGATCATATAGTTACACCTACGCCTTGTAATGTTAGTTGTGTGACTTCTAAGCATATTATCAATTATTCGAATAATTAGATAAAAAACCAACCGGGTAATCCAAATTATTTTCGAAAATAATATGAAACGACCAATTCACGTAACTTGTTGTTTATAAATGAGGCGTACGTGGAAATCATTTTTTTTCGGATAATTAGTTGACTCGGTTGAACTTGCGTGCATCATGTATCTGCTTCATTTTCAATTGATCGGCATTGATGATTGGTGGTAAGAGATTTTCTAACACTTTTCTATGGTTTTCGCATAATTTGTGTGCTCGAGGCTCTTTCTTTAAGCATCTTATGTTGTGTCTCGGAATTAATTGAATTATTCCAGATTTGAACTGATGAAAGATGTGGAAGGAATGCAACAGCGAAAGCATTGAGAAATGTAAGTATCATTTTGAAGCAAAACGAGAAAATAATAGTTCAGCTTGAGGCTAATTATTTTCTTTTCTTTTTGTTTTTTGTTTGTCGACTTGTAAGCTTTCAGAGTTTTTGGATGACAAGCTGACAAAAAAGGAAAGAAAGAGACACATTAAACAAGACTCTTTGTGATACTCAAAATCACTGGACATATTTGGGCAATGAATCCCTTGGGAGGCAGCCGATTTTTAGCTTCTCAGCTGGCTTCGGTTTACATCCCAGTACCTATCTTGCCACACTCTGCGTCAGTTCCGTTTGATGCTATTGTTGAAGAAAAAGATGGTCATTTGAGTACGCGAGCATTACGGGCATCAACTTCACTACCGGCAACAATGAATCAAGTAAGTTATTGACTGATAATTATGTACCATTTATGACATAGCTTAATAGCATCATATAAGCCTACAGAGCCTTTCCCTTTCCTATCCAAGCGTTCCGACTTCCACTAATTATTCTATTACTAAGAGCCACTGAAGTTTTTTGCTTGGCATGTTCACTTAATTTGAATATCAAAAGAAATCTTTAGCGCAATTCATTTTCCTCTTTCTTCTACCACACGCAGCTCTCACGTCAACTCCTTTCAGTATTAACTTAACTTTTGACCCATTTTGATCCTATGAGCCGTAAAAAACGAAGAATACTCTCGAGGGTATCAAATAACTCCATATCGTTTACAAATATCATATGAATTTAATTCGCGCTTTGTCCATCCTATCTTCTTATTTCAAATTCACAGCTTCACATGTAATGCAAACATTTCTTGTTGAAGCCAATTATTTGACACTTATTTTTGCGTCCAAGATAAGGCGAGCGTTGAGAAAGAGAGAGTGGAACCAATCTTTTACGAACCTCCTCAGAATTTTTTCAGCCTTTTTTTGATTAAGTATTTTGTTTTTGTTCTCTTTCACCTTTTCATATTCACACACGCAAACGCCTCAAGCGCAACACATCGCAGATCTTAGTTGGTCTTGGCTTTTCTGGTTTTTCTGCTTTTGCACTATTCATTTAGTTTTACTTAGCGGGACTTGAACACTGCTTGATTGTCAAATCAACTCATTTTCTCTACATGGCGTCGTTTAGTCTTTCTTATAGGCGCTGGGAGCGAGCTCTTCACAATTTGTTTGAAGATCTCCTTCCAGCGTCTTCCTCCTCTACTATATTTGAATAAATAAATATATCTTTCCCTCTCTGTCTATATATATATATATATATATATAGATATAGATATAGATATAGATATATGTATGGATATATTGTTAAGTATTGCAATTTAGGTAGCATTCGCTGGTTTGGGCGGTGCCCGGAGAACGGCAATCGCAGAAGGAATGAACTTATCTGCTCATGTGGAAGGTGGAACAACAAATGGTGAAGATGATACAGATGAGAAAGGTTTGTTCACCCTACCTTGTCTACTTACTACTCGAATTTTGAATTTCATGCTCTTTCATGCTTCATTGCATTCCATTACCTCATATTACATTAATGGCAAGCCAATTCCTCTTTCTCTCATGATTCATTTACCTTCCATTAATTCCAATACAAAACGATGTTCAGCAGCTACATCATAATTGCGATTCGTGCGCGCACAAGCTCCTCTATCTTTAAACTCTTTTTATGCCTAATGTTGCCGGCCAACATATAAGCCGTAGGATTATTTTTGTTTTTCTCATAACAATGAACTCGGCCCTATCTCTTCCAAGAGTTTACATACGATAGTCGAAGTTTCGAAATATTCCCTAATAATATTGCAACAAATTCAATCTGCTTAAATGTTCCGCGTATTCATTCCTTTCACGTTTTGTTTAACTGATAACTCGAAGTCTGGTGCCTTTGGCAAAAATAAGGGTGAGATAGTATTACCTAATAGTCATCATTCTTTTCCTGTAAATTCTCAATTTTAGGTCGGCAGAAGTTTCAAACAATGTTCCGTTTGGCTCTTCCTCATATAGCTCTCATAACAACAACTCTCTCATATGTTTGCTTAGGAGGTAATGTTGTTCTGCTCACTTCGAATCTTCTTTTTTTCAGCCCTTGTTTTTGCTGCCATCGAACAACCATATGAACTTCAGCATAGAAACTATCACTTGCGAGAAATCCGAAAAGTTGAGGTACATCGGGTAGTTTTTTTTCCAAATTGTTGTCTATGACGGTAGTTAGTAGACTAGAAAGTCAACATATTGGTTGGGCATAAGCTGACTCCCCGTTGTTTCTAAACAATAGGTTACCCTGATTGTTTTTATGTACCTACCTTTCTGATTCAGTTGAGGTCTCACAACATTATGAAATTGCTTGACGGAAGTTTTAAGTAACGTTCAAAAAGAGGTAATAAGGTTTGAAACAAAAAATATTATCCTACATTTTCCAAACATCGTATGTATAGAAGGGTGTATATACTTAGTATAGTATGAGCAATAAGCTCGTGAGACTCATATTTGTGATGATTTTGTAAATTAAATTGTACAACCATAAGGGATATGCCAGCCTAGTCAACCATGAACAATTCAATTTTTATATATGAGGAGTTTTGTTCTTTCTTTCAGGATGCCATATTGGAATACAACGGTCAAAATGATCCTTTTAATGAAACTGCTCTTCATCTCATAGATCAGCTTACATTTGTCACATTTCAAGCTTTTGAAGCTGGCATTAAGCCATTCGGTCAGTCGGAATTATGCGTTTTATCCGTTTTTGTCTTCTCCAAACAATAACAGAAAGATGTTTCATCACTACATTCAAATGAGTCGCTCCTTTTCCAGATTTGAACAACAGCACTTTTCAATCGAAATGGAATTTTGCTTCTTCCATTTTCTTCACAACAACTGTCTTGACGTCGATCGGTAATAACACATGCAAGGGGCTACATATGCATCGAAATTATTTTTCTTTCAGGCTATGGTCATTTAATACCAATATCACCTTTTGGTCAAATATTTTGCATGTGCTACGCCATATTCGGGTAAAAGCTCGGCGAAGCTTATTTTTCATCTGGCGATATTTCTAGAATTCCACTTACTTTAATAACTATTGCTGATGTGGCAAAGTTCATCGTGGAGTTACTTGGACGAAGAGGAGATGATCCGCTTGCTGAGGTTTTCCTCGAAATTCCCGACTGCAAATATATATTACATTTTCAAGGTTTCTGGACAAAGACAGATGACGGTGTTGTTTACGTTGTTTTCTTACATGGCAATATCTGCTTGGATCTTCACCTATTACGAAGCATGGAACTTCTTGGATTCCTTCTACTTCTGTCTCATAAGCCTGGTATGTTGGGATTTCTTTCTTATTTCATCTTCTCATTCATTCTATTACTTTGATAGTTTTGAAATGTTTGATTAGATTGAAAATTGTCCGGCTATTAATTTATTCTTGGCCAAGAGGTCACAGATAATTATCTTAATGGATCACTAAAGGGGATGTTTCTCTCTCTGAATGGTAAATGAGAATGTGTGTATGTAAGGAATACAAAAAGTAACACTTGATGATATTTCTGAGAAGGTTCACCTGAACAGAAACTCGGAAATTTCAATCTCCCTCTAATCCAGAGGAGAGGGGGAGTTGCTGTGACTGTTTCTCGTTTTGACCTGAGGGCCCTCTGTTTGACCTGGGAGAAGATCATTTTCTTGACGCTTCATAGTTAATTGACTTTCTTTTCTTGTTGTTGATGGATTGACAGAAAGGGGATAAGTTGATGAATCGCATGAAAACTACTTGATTTCACGACATTTTTTGTTCGTTTTTTCTTCATATTTATGCAAAAAAAATTTTTTTGCATTCCATTATGTGGTATTGGAAAAATGCAAAGTAATGTGTGAATGAAATGCAATAAAAACACATTGAACCGATTTATGGAAATTGAAACCTCTTGTCGTATCATACTCAAGAAATTTTTGTTTCGTTCGATCGAAACAATCTAGTATAGGTATGATTAATGTTTGAACAGGAAGAAATCCGTATGCGGCTCATACTGTTGAAGTGAATAGTTGAAAACAGTATTTGTAAGCCCATATGATAGCTGATTGGGAGCAGATAGTTTCTTCAACATGAATTTGTTCTCATTTTAAGTTATTCTTATGTTTACAGTGAAATCTGAAGGTTAATGGGCATAGGCTTGAAATGAAAAAACTGAAAATGAGACACATTTCGACAGAAATTATTCTTTTTTTTTGATTTAAAAATAGGAAGAAGGAATCGGTTGTGATGGTAGTTGTTGTGTTTGAGAAAAAGATGGATTTTATGATATTTGTGAGTCTATTCCTCATCCAATAATACTCCCTTTCATCTCAAAGGATTGTCATCATCATTTCACTTCTTGTTGCGGGTCTCACCGAATTAGGTCATTTAAGATAAGTTAGGGAAGATAAGCCTCGATCCTCTTGTATTTGTGAAAAAAAAACACCAAAAGCTTAACTGCAGAATAGCTGAGTACTGATGATGGGATTACAAATAATATTGTTGCAAATAGCCCAACTAGAACGTTCACATTCCGACTTCTACTAGAGCTTAGCACTCCTCATATAGATTCGAGTGGAGTGATACATCCCTTACTTCTGAAATTGAAGCAAGATTCGACTTTGTTGTGCTATTGATTGTATTCAGCTGATGATAGTATGGACATTTGTTTTGAACTGTACATTTCCTAGACATAATTGTAAAGCGAGTATGCATTGACATAAGTTATCGTTGAAGATTCTTGTGAGAGGAGTTGGAAAGTTGAGTTTCGCACACGAAATCAAGTCAAGGTTAATTATTATGGAGAATGTTAGTGAAATTTTTGGTGTTTGTGTTGAGATCATGGGATGTCATATACTACTAGGAAGTACTAGAAAAATCAGATCTTACAGGAATGAACGAATTCTTTTTTCTTCCAGATGACTGTAGGATTTGGTGATTTATATCCTCAGGGAGACGTGGGATATATGGTTGCTTCAATCATTTTTCTTTTTGTTGGACTAATTTTGACAACGTTATCCGTGGATGTAATGGGCTCTTCTTGTATTGAACGTATCCATACTTGGGGACGTGGACTGGATGCAATGGCCTTGTTGAAGGCTTTTAAAGGAGCCGCCACGAGAAAGTAGGTTACCTTATACGAACTAAAAAGATTTTGTTTACGTTTTACTCGACAATAATCTTCATTCAAACTCCAAAATGTTCGAGGTGTAAGCTTTTCTAAATAATCAGCTGTTTGAACTATGTGAGAAAGAAAATTTTTTTGTTGAACCGTTGAGGTGTCATTTTTGCTCAGCTTTGAGAGTGAGGTGAGGAGTGGAGAGTTTTTTCTTTTGCATCTTGTGTAAACATTAGCATCTCCCCTATCATAAAAAATGAAAGTTCGCATTTTTTAGTCTGCTTCCGGGTGCAGGATTACCCATTAAAGGACTTATTGCTGCGAGTATGCGTCTACCGGACGGTTACCAGTTCGGCTCAGGCCGAGGTATTGTTCGTAAAGATGCTTTACCACATGCATCTGATGAGGATAAGATGGCGACAATAGCTGACGATGGCCTCGTCGCAATGAGCGCGGCCGTGAACGGTGTCGGTTGCGGCGTCGTGAGCGCATCGTCGTCAACTATGGTGGTTGGCGGTTCGCCACGCCCCCGCTGGTTTGCATTTGTGCCGAAGGACGTGGCCCGTATTCCGTACATAGATGAGTCGTCCATTAATTCCACGACGTCATCGTCTTTTGTTGCTTGTATGTCGTCCTAATCCATTACGAGCGTTATTAACATTACTTGATAATAACATCAATACATCATGTATATATGATGGCGTACTGGAGCCATTCAAGCCATTATATGATCAATTAGAGCAACATCATCAGCAAGATGAAGCTCATGATGAAGCTGATGATCTTATTGTATGTTATGGACCAGTAGCTATACGTCAACATATTATTCCATTAGCTATTCGTGAACATATCTCCCTGTCTAAACTATGGCTTAACTACGCGGATCTTAGCTTATTAGATGACCAACAACTTTCTATTAACCCTGAGGATGACATGGAACAAGAAACTCAAGCACTTATCAACCGTCTCGCCAACATCACACCAGGTTCGTTCTTTTCCATGTTTGTTTTACTTTCTGGCATTTGTTAACTTCTACACTATCACTAAACACCTGTGTCTGAGAGTTATGCATCAAACACGAAGTGTTGAATATGCTATCTTACACGTTATGACTGTCTTATCCAGATTATTCTCTTCATCCTAGATTCTATTCCTTCTCTTTTTTGTTTCGACTTTCAAAAAATTCAAAATTCTCATCAAACTATCAGCAGTTAGCGTTAATAAGCCTACAATCAAGATGATCTTGTTTCCAACTCTCTCTCTCTCGCTTTTTCCCATTCATTCTCTCTCTATCTTTCTTGAACATTTTTTTAGCAAGAGACCAATGACCTTCCTTACCTGGCCCGTCCTCGCATCGGCTCTTCTATCTCCTATTCTCTTTTAACCCCTTTCTCTCTTCAATAGTATTACCATCACCTATCTCTAACCGTCTTCATCATGTCCGCCTAAGTTCCTCCTTTCTGCCTGCATTGTTAGTTCTCATAATGGTCTCCTTTTTTAAGACTTTGGAACAAACTCAATAACGAGAGAAATCGATTGATCTCAATGAATGCTCTGGGGATTAAAAAGAAGAGCAATCCTTCACAATATCTAAGCTTTTTCTGTAAATTCATGGTCTTCCTTTGAGTTAATTTCTTCATGAGGATATTTCCTATCTCTCTTGTTCTTCTCTTTTCTCTGAACTTCTCTTTGTTCAGTTTGACATGATCTCATACTTCTAGCAAGATTATATGTTCGATGATAATGTTTCTATTGAGAAACATGAACATGCCTTGTATGAGAGTAAAGAGGTCAAAGATTACATATTTGACTATTTATGATATATATGAGACAATATAATTAAGAGATCTAACAGATAAAGTCAGATTTGTTTTATGAACTCTTAGTTGCCACGTTTGGTCGTCGATTAGCATTCTTCTATTCTTCTTTTCCCAAGATAATGAAGGTGTCAGAAGTTTTATAAGAATACCTTTTTCAATGATGTTTTTTTCATCGTTCTGAGAGTCAGAGCGATTTCAAGGTTTTTCTCTCTCTCTTTCTCTCTCGAAAGTTACCATGGCTAAGGAGAAAACCCTATGTTTCGATCAGAAGCTTTTTCGTTCATTGATGTCCTTCAGTGATTTTTTATTTCAAACTTTCTTCCTTTGAATTAAACGAAACAATCATTCTATTCCTGAGCTCATAGATGCCATCTAAACATAAGTTGAACAACACTCAGTTCACATTCCAATGATCCAAGCGGCCACACTTCAATGGTAAAGCTGGAAATAATTTTTTCTCTCAGATTATTTCAAGTAGAATTTTTGTTTGGACAAACTGTATTTCTCGATGTTCTCTCTTGTTCTCATTTCGCTTTTCTCCATTTCTTCATCAAAAGATTCGTTCATTCCATTGTGTGCCAAGTTCAACACGGTACCAGGTCGGACAGTCTCGGGGTTGATTGGGGAAGAGGGGGTGTAGGGTAGTAAGGAAGAGAAAGTCGGAACTCGGCAAATGATTTGTTTGGAATCACACACGGCAATCGTTTCTTGAGCTAGTTGAAGAAGCTTCTCTCTCACTAGCTGACACTATATATCTGGTTCTCTCTACCTTGATTGAATGTTGTCATTCAACTTTAAGCTTTGAAAACTCATACAAACACGTGTGTCACTTTTCCTAAATGAATAAAGTGCACAAGAGTTCGAAGTTCCCAACAGAACAGATTTCGTGTTTGTTCTTTTCTGATTAGAAGCGCATATTGAGCTTCAGAGTTGTTCCTTCTATTGACCCTCGAGAAAAGCCAGATGCTATAAGGTTGAAGGCAGAATAGTAGATGGATATGAGTTTGATACAGTTTTCGGTATAGGCCAAGTTAATCCTATTCTTATACTCTCCATTCGTTTACTGTATTAGGAAGTGTTCAACTGTGCTTCTGTTTCGCTTGGTAAATCGGAACAGAATTTGCGACAAGTCTAGCATTCAAGTCTTCACGTACGCTCCTCATTCATTCTTAGCGTTATTTGCGCCAGAATTGGTTATCCGATTTTTAACTATGCGAGAATGTCTAACTTTCATTAAAAGTTTTTCGACATTCGATTCCATCTTTTCACTTTTAATGCGTGACTCATCTCACGAGTTGTTCTGTTCTATGTCAAATTCGTTTCTACACATCTTCAAAACTTCCCGAAACCAGTGCTTCCATATTTCATCCGGGGAAAGTAGAGATATGAGATTATTCAATCTTTTTTCATGAGAAAGCTATGCGGTAGCCTGAGGGCAAAGTAGCGGAAAAAGAAAAAAGAAAACTTTCCTAGTTTTGACCCCATTGCTGAGAAGAGCCTGCTACCCTGGTTATTTCTGTTCCGCGGACCTTCCGGTCACAAATAAGGTCATTTTGAAACTAATTTCTGTCCAGTAAAAAAAGTCCCAAAAGTGAAGTCTCAAATGAACTCTTTGTCTTCTCATTCGATCAAAAATTCAAAGTCAACATGTTTTCCATTCGAATATGCCATACGATGGAAATGATAAAAATAAGGTTGCAAATTAAGAGTTCTTTGTAACTTCTTAATGAGTTTCGGGGAGACTTCTACTTTTTTTTTCTCTGTTCACTCGATTTTTCCATAGAATTCATTCTAAGCTGCCCGTATTCTGTGTTCTTCTCTTTGTTTTTTAACCGTTTTCTCCTTGGCAAAGGTCAAATCCTTTTTTTTCCGATTGTCAAACGACAAACTCAAGAAAAACAAACATTGTGCGAGAAATTGACTGACTTATGGTCAGAATGGTAAAAGAAGAAGTAAATAATCAAGAAAAAGAGAAGAAATAGGAGGAGAGAGAGGAGAGGAGAGAGCGACACGCATACAGTCAGAGAAGATCGAATTGATTCGAATCAACCAGACCTTTAAGATCCAAATCTAATATTTGGGGGTCAGATTGATGGAAACATCTGTTAAAATGGTTGTTTTCCGTCAATTGACAAACTTGATTTTCCTCTCCTGACATATTAAAAAGTACTCAAAAGCTTCCAGTTGATATATATATAAATGGATTTTGGTTGCGTGCATTCTCACGTCGAAGTGAGTTTTGACCGTTTATAGTTGTTCACGGCCGTTGGAGGCATTTTAAAGGTGAATGCTCTACCTGTTGTCGGAAATTTTCATCTGAACTTGAGCGAAGAGACTGATGAAAGGCCTTCGACTCGCCGAGAAAACATAAAAATACAAAATGATTTGTAAGAAGAAAGAATTTTATGATTGTTTTTCCTCCTCAAACCATTTTTCTTTCTGAAAACCAACATGAGGTGTTGATGCAAAGTTGTTCAACGTTTACCAGAAGAAAAATAGGATTTGTATTTTTCTTCGTCTTCTTATTCACATTACACTTTGAACGTCTTGATCCAACCCCACTCCAAGCGATGAATGAATGAATTCATGTTCTTTGATGGCTTCTGAATGAACTTACGAAAAGAATATTGCTGCTCTCGTTGCCATCGTTTTTTGTGATAAGAAATATGAGCGAAGTATAATCAATTAATGAATGCTTCTGCTTAATTCAATTTTGAGAATTGTATTTGATTAATAAGCTGAAAGACGGAAGTGAGATTTCAGTCATGTTTGTCTCTGCTTCCTCTTCTCTCTGCATCTTTCACTCTGCAATCACCTTATTTGACCATCGGGGTCATTCTGAAGGTTGTCAAAATTGACGTAGAGATTGACAATTAAAGTCAAATGAGATATTTGACTGATAAAGAACTATGTGACGATAAAAGGGAATTTTTAGTCTTCTTAAGTTTGTTTTTTCCAGAAGAATTGAATTCGGTCATTCAAACGGTCAACCTCGGCGTGCAATCGGCAGTTTGGTACGTGTTCCTTGCATGATTAGAAACAAACAGTTTCTGTTGTAGTGATCGTGAAACGAAGATTGAAGGAGATGTAGTGGTTCGTGCTAGAGGATTACCATGGCAAGCATCTGACAGCCATGTTGCTCAGTTCTTCGCTGGGCTCGAAATCGCTCCGTAAGCTTGAACTTCCGAACTATAATACTCATTTGTTGTTACTTGCAGCGGAGGAATTGCTTTATGTTTATCAGCCGAAGGACGACGCAATGGAGAAGCTCTAGTCCGTTTCACATCAGAACAGATGAGAGACATGGCTTTGAAACGTCATCGTCATTTCTTATTATCCAGGTAATGTGTTTTCTCTGCTGAGTACAGAGTATGAATGTGAGTCTTGAGTGCCATGTCGAATTGACGTTTCATATACGTCATTTCCACGTGAATCTACGTGAATCTCACGTGAAATATATTTTCATCTTATTTACAAGTGAAAAGCGGTGATGACGGTCGTTTGCATGGAGAGCTCTGAGCGTTATTAGTTTTTTATGGAAAAATGAGAGAGAAAAGAAAAAAATTTATTGAAACTCTCTTTATTCGCTTCGCTATTTCCAATCATTTTGTTTGTATTAAAAGAAAAATTGTGATGTTGACGAAAATGTTTTTTATTCATCGAAAAACAGTCAAAAAGAAAAAGAAAATTTGCTTTCTTTGCTTTTCTTCGGTCAATATTCATATGATTAGAGAGGTTTCTTTCGTTTATCATAGAATCTGAATATTCGGCTGCTGTCTAATTTGAATTCTTTACAGGTACATCGAGGTTTACAAGGCAACATCAGAGGAATTCCTTCACGTCGCTGCCGGTATGTCCTTCTTCTTTCAATTATGTTAGAGCTTATTTCCTTTTATGCTTCTTACTTGTTGCTACTTTCTTTTTTTCATTTCATTCGTAAAGCACATAGTGATCCAGTTCCTTCATGCCATTTTATAGCTTTTTCTTTCCATCACACTGGCCAGAGCCTTGACGCAGTGATAACTGAAATGAGATTATGTTTTTGGCTTTTGGCCTTGTGCTGTTCATCAGTACTGCCTTTGTCTAACCTATAAATTAACTATTCAGTTTGAATAAGATCACAATCAATTTCATTGCTTATATCATCTTCGCTCTCTGATTCTCTTGTCAAAGAAATTTTGAGAGAGAGAGAGAGAGCAAGAGAAGAGACAGATGTAGAAGAAACTTAATTGTTTATTTGAATTAATGTTTATTCAGATTGAATTCCTTAACAATCTCTCTGTCGAACTATTTTTTCTGTTTTCAAGCTTTTTAATTTCAATTTTACAAAGATGTTTTTGTCACCTCGTCCGTCTCCTAGGTCAAAACAATGAGGAATCACTTTCATAGATAAGTTGTTATCAGTTGTTTTCGTTGATTTTCATAGCAGTTTCTGCACTCACTTGCATCCTTTATATATGTTAATTAAGCATTTCTGATAGTTCCTTATCTGCTTACTCCTCCGCTCCCATATAAGACTTTTTGACTTTTCATTTATGAGGATAATCTAGTCGGAATCTGATGACGAGATGGAATGCTTACTTTCACTGTTGCTCTCTCTCTCTCTCTCTCTATCTCTTACTCTTATAACCTCTCTTCTCTTTAACGAACGATAATCAGTGAATTTTATGCTTCGATGGCAAGTTGACCGACCACGAAACAAAAATTATCGTTCGACGTTTAAGTTATTGGGGGCTCTGCTTTCGTCAAGGCCAATTGTCTTCAGCAGAAATAAGTTTTGTTTAGTTTGTTTGGAAAACCGTTTTTTTCTTTCTCAATCGAGTTCTTCTTTTCGTTTTTGTAGTTAATGATAAGCTAGGGGCGTTTTGATATTATAAGGACGCTTGACTCATCGTTTGTAATCATTCATACGATCAATGATTTGAAGTCCGTCTGTTTCTTATATTTTAATGAACAGTTAGCTTCATCTATTTTTTTTCATTTCAACAAAGTTTTGACCGTGAAGGTGTCACAGCCAGGAACTGTCAGGCTGTCCGATTGACCTGTTTGTTTCCTGTTATCACCAGTTCTCTCTTAATTTACCTTTCTCTCTCTCTCTATCTCGCATATTCACTCTCAATATCTCCTTCTTTCTTCTCATATTTCTTACCAGTTAAATGGTCTCATGATATGAGTCTTTGCTTTGTAAGCAGACTACAAGTTTTTTCTATAGAAAACAAGAGCACATGCAGAGGAAGCAATAACCTCACAGTTTCAAATATCTATTGAACGTCTTGCACTCTTCTTCTTCTTCTTTCTTCATTCATCTTTTCAGTTTTTTGTATTTTTTGCCCAATTTCAACATTTTTTTCTCGCACAAGAACAAAACATTGTCGATGATGACGAAAAAGGAAGAAAAATTTTTTTTTCACCAAACGAAAACAAAAAAGGTGATCAAGACCAGATGAAGATCCCCAGCATCTGCTTCAATTTCTACTAATAACGGACAGTTCTTCATGATGAACTTAGCTCATCCGCTTTTTTCTGTACCTGGAATGCTATTAGTCATGAAGTTGATGCGTGAATTCCATCTGCCGAGTAGCTTTTACCTTCGAGTGTTGTCGGTTGTCAAGCTAAAAAGGGTTGAAATTTTGAAAATCTTCATTTAGTGAGCTTTTCCCTCTTTGACATCTTCCAACAATTGCCTTCTGTAACCATGGATACGGTTCGAAGTTACTTTAAAGACTTCAGATGGCCATCAGCTTACATGGCAGTTTCCGTTGCGCATTTTGTTGTTCTTCCTCTCTTTTGTATTGTTTTGTTTTCTGTTTGTTTGTTTGTATTGAAATACTTTCTCACTTGCCTTTTATCAACTCTTTTGGAGGCTTTCAAGAGAAAAAGCCTTCCAGAATCTCATATTCTCACGCTTCATTATACGATTTATCCGTCAATCTACTATGCATTCCATTAATTACTGAAAGAGGGAAAAATAATGAAAACAGAGAGAAAGAGAGAGAGAGCTCTTCGTTTTTTTTTTTTATGTAGCTTCTCGTCCAGTTCATCCATCTATCCCATTTCATTCAGCTCGCATCCAGCCTTTTCTTTTCATTTTTCTCGAGTCAGTCATGTCAATTACAACTTCATTTCCATAATTTACTTTTCGAAACTTCAACTTCTGATTCATCTCAGCTTTTCCTCCTTTTTGCTGCCTTGTTGTATTCTTTCACTCTCTTTCTCTCTTGCTCTCTCTCTTGCTCCCTCTCTTGCTCTCATACTACAATGATATCCATTCTCTCACTGACCTCTTGACTGCGTGGATGGAGAAGTCAGGAATTACCACACAACTTGCTTCTCTCCATGTGATAATTCGATTTTTGACCAAAAACAGACGAATGTTTTGAAAATAATTTGGTTAACAAATTGGAATTTTGAGGGAAAAGATGACGCAAAACGGTTCATGTATAGGCTGTGTCGGTGGTGCAAAGCGATGATGATGATCATGATGATGTTCATGTTCGATTGTCCCTCCTGTTTCTCTTTTTCTCTTTGTTAACTCTCTCAATCTCTTAATCTCTTCCTCTGTACCCCCTACGCAGTTTATCTCTTCTACCTGTTTGGTCCTTTTGCTTATTATCTTTTCAGAACTTTTTTCATCTCTCATTTTCCTTTATTGATATATTTTGAATGAAAACGCTCTTTTCTCGTCCTTGCTCTCTCTCTCTTTCTCTCTCTCTCTCTCTCTCCCTCTCCATTTCTCATATTTTATTAGCTCCCATCCCCCTTCCTCTCTTCAAACCGGGAGAGTGATAGAGCTTTTCTATAGATGAATGAATTGTATGATATCCTCTCATATGGTATATGGGCAGTAACATGGAAAACCCTCTTTTATCTCTTTCATACACTCCATCATTTTTCCTGAAATGATAAATATATAGGCGTATCTCATGAAATGATAAATCTATAAGCTCCTCCTTTCTCCACCCACATGGTATTTTACTGTTTTCTTTTGTATCTCTGACTCTCTAAGTTATTTATCTTCAACCAATACTATCTCTCATTCAGTTCAAATGATTCTTTCCCGTCTGTCCCGTTGTCTCCTTCTCCCTCCCACCTCTCTCTCTTACATTCTCCTCCCTCTTTTCCACGTGCGTACACATCGCTTCTGTTCACATTTGGCCATCTCTTCCCGTGCGAGATCTGAGGATCTTTAAGCTCGTATTTCTCTACTCTGATCATGTCCAGCATTTCTCAAGGTAAGAAGCTGATAGCTGCCATGTTCATAGTTTTTGAAGAATCTTTAGTACACGTAATGCTAGATAACAAAAAACATTTTTCATTATTGCTGATTAAGAAAACGTCAAAAATTAAATTTCATAAACAGTTCGATTGAAGCCTTTCACTTACATCTAGCAGTAACTAACTCAGCAATGTAAAACTAACAGATAAGAGTATGATATCAATTGACCCAATTATTTTCTGCCTTTACTCACTACTTTCCTTTTGGTTTAACTTGAACCTCGGTTCTGCCATCATGACTCTCAATTAGAATCAGTTCTTCTTCGTAGTGACGTATCTCTAGACCTTATCCGCTGTCTATCTATATCATAGAGATGACCAAATGTATGTTTCTGCAACTTTCTTACATTTCAATGAAAAAGTCGTCAAAGTGTTTCTTTCTATTTTCACCTTTGAGTCGTCAAGAAAAATGGCGAAGTTATGAACGTATATGTCAATCTCCAAGAAAGACGTTGATAAAACGTTTGAAAAACTGCCAGCTCTCCTCTTTCAAACCCTCTCAGTTGCTTTTCTCAGTTACTTTTGGGTCTATTCAATTCATATAACAAGTGAAACAGTTTGCTGAATGAAAAATAAGAGTTTTTGCTTTGTAATTTGGAATTTTTGCAGGTTCTTCCTCTGAAGCCGTCAATTTCGTGTCCACAGGCGCTGCCATGTTTGTTCGCATGCGTGGCTTACCTTATGACTGCACGGAGCTACAGATTGTGAGTTTTAAAATTAAAACCTTATTTGGATTTCGTTTATTTTACTCAACGAACAGTAATGACTTGTTTTTCATTTGGACTAACACATAAGGTTATCATGAGCGTTAATTTCATTGTGCGATGCAAGAGAGGTACTTGTCATAGAAAGAGAGAGAGAGAAGAGAGGAGAGAGTGGATCAACACAATACACGTGGAATATGATATGTATTGTTATAAAAACCATTCGAAGCCAATCTCATGTTCTCCACGAAAATAATTTTTCAACAGAGGGATTAGAAACAAATGAGAAAACACTTTCATTCATTGTTCATCACCCTTATGTCTCATCAAGTGAAAAAATCTTTTTTGTTTCCAATCTAAAAGAGATGATGCTACAAGGTGGTTTTTGGTTATGAAGCTCTCGTTTTACTTCTCGCTCTCTAATAATACATACTCTACTCACCATTTATTAAGAAAGAGAGAGAGTCATAGCTCGTACTCAGGTGATAAGCAACACTTATTTGAATGAGTTTCTCAAATTGAACTTGATTCATTGGCCAAATTTCTATCATTTGCTTGCCTGCCTGATGGACAGAAATGAATGTGTTGGCTGAAGTGGGTTTTTTGCACTCAGTTTGGGTTGAATGTTGAGAGACACAAACGACTTCAATTTGCTTATAAATGTGTTTATTAAGCTGAATGACAGCTTTTCCCAAATTTGTTCAGGCTTTAGGTATTCTCTTCTTCTTCCCACTCGTTTTCTCTTTGTTTTAGAGAGAATACTAGTGAGAGAGAGGAATATGACGAGTTAAAGTAGTATATTTTATAAAAACAACAGAATGTATTCGCATATTTGAATGCTAGCATTTGATCAGCTGTGATTCCATTTTTCATGACAAACAATAATTTTCTTCAGCCTTGATCTATTTGATGAAGAAGGCTAAACGTTTTTCTTCACACAGTCTGAAAGAATGACTGATGAAGACAGAAATATATAGAATGCTAGAAGACTACATTAATGCTATTGAAGATCTAGTCGTTGACCTGTTAACAAAACGAATCAAATGATTCAAGAAATGTTCCTCAATATGTTGATTACAGCGTGATTTCTTCGCTCGTGCACCAAACGCATGCGAGATCATGGATCAGGTGTTGTTCGTCACACGCGCAGATGGAAGACCTACAGGTTTGAATTTTTTTCAAAATTTTCATTATGAAGCAGTCAACCGTATGTTACGCATACTGTGTTACAAAGTAATACATGCTGAGCTCGCAACATGAACACGTGGCACTGTCTACGTATATACACGTGAAAAGGGTCATTTGTAATGTTGGCGTGCATTGTGGCGGTTGTCTGCTTTGAAAGAAGTGCTTACGTTCGTTCACATTCTGTATTCTAGGAGATGCTTTTGTTCAATTTGAGGATGAAGAAAAAGGAGCAAATGCCCTAACGAAGCATAGGCAGTGTATTGGAAGTAGATATATTGAGTTGTTCCGAAGCACAAGCGCCGAAGTTCAGCAGGCAAGTTCCCTTCACTTTGATTTGTTCTCGAAGCTCATTAGTATAATCGGTGCTTGTTGGAATATATAAAAATATATTTAAATGAACAATCTGATTATTCTATTGTTAACAAGCAAATGATTGTAAACAATCATGTTAACAGAGCTAGTCCAATAAAAAGAAGCATGAATGAAATATGTGAATGACGTTCATATTAATATAGTTAAAATATTTATTTAATTTGTCCTTTTACATTGACAAATATCTTTTGATGGTGATGCTAGCCATGCCCTGTATGTCTTTATGTGTCGATTTGTGTGGGTGATTGATATTACAAAAAGAACCGACATCAACATCCGCTTATGGAGGGACATAGATTGAGTTTGTCATCTTTCTTTTTCTGCATCTCTGCCTGTCTTTCTGTATCGTATCTATGAAGTTCAGTTGAGAGAGTAGAAGAGACAGATAAAGTATTCCGATCTACCTCTAACCAAAGCAGATGGTAATTAGCCTGACAATCACTCTTTGGATGTGTCAATGATATCAAATATCTTTATTTGGTTATTATACGTCGATATGTGACTGTATCGCTACACCTAAGCATATAACGGACAGAGGTATTGGGTGTGTTGAATGACTAGCCACTGAATCCCTTGTTTGAGTCGCTTAAAACGGTATTTCACGCATATGGTCATCGGTAGTAAAACCTGAATCAACCTAGATGCCTCCTTATCCGTTTTCTTCCAATGCTGGTCTATGAAGATAGGTGAACATAAACAAAAGGAGAGAATGAGAGAGAAAACAGTCATAATCTTCTATCCTTCCGAGTTGCTCTATAATTCTTCCAATTACAACTTTTTTGCCGTTGTTTTCACAAATTTTGTGTGTGATCGGTCATCCCATTGCAGTTTTATGTGAGAAATGGGAAAACATTCACGTTTTTCTTTGTAGGTTGTGAAACGATCGTATGAACAAGGCGGAGCATCCTCAGGCCGTAGAGATTGTATTCGATTACGTGGCCTTCCTTATGAAGCACGAGTGCCTCAGGTATATCGAATCCTTATAGTGATGAAGATTTGTACTCGATTATAGGTTGTTGAGTTCTTGGGGGATAATGCTCGTCACATCCAGTACCAAGGTGTACACATGGTTTTCAACTGTCAAGGAAATCCTTCCGGAGAATGTTTTATTCAAATGAACAGTGAGCACGCTGCTTTAGCTGCTGCATTAGCTTCACATAACAAATTCATGATTATAGGGAAGAAGCAGAGATATATAGAGGTTGGGTAAAGTGTGTGGTAACTTTCACAAACTAACTATTTCAGGTTTTTCAATGTTCTTCAGAAGATATGCACCATGGAATGACATACCCTGTTCCTGTCACACCTGCTAATGTTGCTCCACCACCGCTCATTCTCCCACAGAGATCTTTCATACAAGGGATTCCTCCTATGATGCCCATGCAAGCTCCGCCAACGTTTTGGCCCTATCCATCACCCCCAGTGTCTCCTAACGTAGTGCTGCCGGGACAACTTCATCAATATGTCGTTTACGGTTTAGCGCCAAATGTAGGTGCAGCCGATCTGATTGCTCAATTTCAAACTGAAAATATAGTAGTGGAAAATGTATGAGCTATAAATGTATTTGAAATAATGAGTTTATTTTCAGGTTTTATTCACCCGTCTTGCGTCTTCAACGCTACCAGGCGAAGCTGTGGTGACATTGCGATCTCGAACTCCTAGTGATCCTCAACAAGTTGTACCAATAGAACCACAATTCCTTTCGAAGGTAATGGTAATCTAATTTCTTTCGTTTCTTATTCTATTTTCCAATTACAGGTGCCACTTGATCCTCCATTCGTTCCAGCTCAGATGCCGCTATCTATTCAGGCAGTCACACAGCAGCCAATTTTTACGGTTATTCAGTCATGAGCTCTAGCTGCTCTATCAGCTGTTTGAGCTTGTGTGTCAACTAACATAATAATTGACAGTTCCAAAATGTCACCATTCCTTCTCCACAATTCCGAATTTGTACCCATCATCTTTAATGGCCCCACTTCATAGGAAAAAAAGCTTAACCTAGTTATACTGTGATCATGCACGTTTTGTGTTTTACATGTTCAATTCTCGAACAGTATCTTTCTTGCACCTTTCAAGCCAACCATCAGCATTTTTTTTTACTCCGAATGCTCACTCGCATTTTAAGTGGCATTGGCTCTATTTCTCGCTTTTGTGTTTCCTGTTTCTTGCCAGACATCGAAGTAGCGCAGGAGTGCCTTACTTACACTTTTGAAGACTTTATTTAATTCCAGTCATCAATGCATTGTGCGTATCATTCGAACGCCCTGTATTTACGACAGGAGAAGCCACTCGCCACTACCTGCTCTTTACTCTTTTAGTAATAATCTTATAATGTCTTTTAGAGTTGCACGGTCGTTTCTTTGTATTTAAAGTTCACTGTTACGTTCAATTACTCTGTGATGGCGCATAATACTAACAAAGCGCACTAGCAATGTTCATTACGTGTCCTCGAGCCCTTCCCTCCAATCTATATTTATATACTCTATTATGAAAAATAAGTATAACTGTGATTGAAACTGCAAAGTTTTCTTACCTTATTGTTAATGTCATCCAGTGTGGAGAACACTCATTCACACGTTCTGTTAGATTATTGAAATGCTCTATTCTTAATAAAAGTTCTTTTTGCTCCTCTTTGCTTCACTACTAAGGAGAATGATCACAAGAAAATATCCTTGTCCTAGTTTAACCTTTTACGGTACCAAACGGAACGTTTCGGATGTACACAGCTGTTCTGAACGACTTTGGGTGGAATGCAACCGCTCTGGACGGCTTTGGGTGGAATGCAACCGCTCTGGACGGTTTTGTGTGGAATGCAACCGCTCTGAACGGCTTTGGGTGGAATGCAACCTTTCGGTGCGTTTCAGATAAGACCTGTACTTTTTCAGGTCTCACCCCTGGCTTG